ATATTCACGTTAACACTAATACCGAAACCCCACCTAGGCTGACGTTAACCGAAACCCCCGGTCTGTGAGACCCCATTTGAAAAATAATGGACCCTGTTTAGAAACACACAAACCGAAACCCTCATTCTGTGAGACCCCGCTTTAAAATACACTAACGCTTGGCTTCTGAGATGGACATGTTATGAACAGACGATCTGTCAAGGTCACGGCACCCATGCAAAATGAACAAACGATATATCAATAGGTAGGGAAGGAAAAGGGGGGAAGGTATTGGGGGAATGGAATCTACCAAGTAAACAGTGTTGCCAACATGCGTTATTGAAAATTCCCGTGGGCCTGTCAGACCGGGGTTTCGGTATTAGTGTTAAAGATTGCCTTACTTCTGACACAAAAGTTGAGCATGTTATTATCCGTAGCCCGGACACAGACTTATTTGTTCTAGGTATCAGGTTCTGGGTAGAATTTGAAAAACTGGGTTGTAAAGGATTATGGATGAGAGTTGGCACCGGGGACAAAAGAAGGGGTTTAGGATGTCATATTGCCGCATCATCCTTAGGCAAAGATTTATGCGAAGTGCTGCCTGCAATTCATGCTTTAACCGGATGTGACACTACCAGTAAAATAAGTACAAAAAAGACAGCATTTAAATACTTTATGAAAAATGAAAACTCCTACCCTATACTGCTGTCGTTGTGTCACTTGCCAATATCCCAGGAATCTATTCACCAATTAGAGTTGCTATACCTTCAACTAATTAAAAAGAAAGGCCAATCATGCGATTAGAGTCGCTTTCTTGAGTTTTCCACCACTCAATCTGTTATTCAAAATCTCAGCAAATTAGCATGCACATCCGAATGCTACAAACTGCACATACTTAGATGTGCAGCATCATTAATTCAACCCTGCAAGTGCAAAAACTGTTCAAAGAACACCTGTAGTTGCTCAAAAAACAAGTCTTCTTGCTGCTCATATTGTAAATGTGGAAGTGCTTGCAAGAACCCTTTCAAAAATGTAAAAAAATATGAAGAGAGCGAAGATTAGGGAGACAAGTAAGCCATCAGAATTAAAAAAGCTGAATTTTGAACCAAAATGTAAATAAACAATTGTAAATAGTGTAAATATGTAAATGAAATTGATATTAATTGACTGTAAATTGAAGAGGGATAAAATAAAAACTTTGTGTACCTCAAATACATCTAAAAGTAAGTAACTGAAACTTGTTCAACCTTATGTAGTAAATTAGTTAATATTATTAATAATAATTTTATCTGTTATATTTATGTGGTATTTCCTTGTTGACGTCATTTATAGGTTCCATATCAAAACACAATAATGTTACTTTAAATAAATTTAAGTGAGCCTGTTGCATTCAAACCGATCACGTACGCAGCTTGCTATCTTTGGCGCGCCTCGATACTGGATTTACGGTCAACGCTACTATGAATTTCCCACGCATACTCTTACTGAAATCAACGTAGCTCTGTTGTTTTTGCACAGATTTCCTTAAACTTGGTGTTGTTGTACTACTTGTTAGTTTTTCTAACCATAAATAGTTTGTAACATGCCCTAAACAAGCGCAATATTTCCGATATTTCATTTTAAAGTATTTTTAAATTTTATTTTTTCAATAAATGTTGATTAGCGCCTAAAGTATAAGAGATAGAAGAAAGGTTGTAATAACCTTTTTGAAAGACAATATATTTAGGCGTAGATAGACGCTTAAACCACCTTTCTATCATTAACCGTTTCAGAGTTAGACGCGGAAACGTAAACCACTGACACGCGCAACTTCCCCCCCGAGTTATGACCACGCTAGAAATGCGACATCATCGATTTTTTTCATCTACTAGATGTCCCCAACAATAATCAAAAGTCAAACTTTGTCAGACTTTCAGTGCATACTCAACCCGTTTAGCCCCCGGCCCACCAGGCGCACACACACATCATGATCACTGACACATTCACACACACATGCATACAATCACTCAACTCAATACATGAGATAATCTTCCAAAATTAAACTAGCAAAATTTTGTTTAAACGTGTGAAGATACAGACTCCGGACATACAGACTCCGAAACAATAGACTTAGCAATACAATATTATTTCAGTTAATAGCAATTAAATAAATAAAAAATAAAATAACTAATAAGCAACGAGACATGCATTTTATATAAGATTTACTCAAACAAACAGTTTGACTTCAGACAAAAATATTGATATGATTTTATCTAATGCAGGCAAAAAGGTAAACAATGTTCTTTGTAAATAATTTAAGTTATCTAACAAAACATGCTAATAGATAATACAATACCGATAACGAGTGTATACTTAATTTCAATTATAAATTTAAAAAAATAATTGTGCTTCATTGAAAATAAATATGTAAATAGGTTTAAAGTAATTAAATAAAAATAAAAATACATATTTATAAAATAAAATTGCTGTAAATGACGTATACAACTCTAATAGATCATTAATCAGATATAGGTAAATAAGTTTAGAAGTACATTAAATAAATAGCAGAGCATATATAGGCCTACAATAATTCTCATAAATCACTTATCATTCATTCTTTACAAAAAAAAAAAAAAACAAACCTAACATAGATTAAAGAAAATTCATTTTTCTCTATAATAATTAGATAGATATAGATAGTAATAGCAGTAATACTATAGCCCATGTTCGTCTTTACTCTGGGAATATCAAAATCTGGGAATTCGGAACCATCCAATCCAAACTGGGCTCTCGGCATTACATAGTAAAGCTTGACTCTGGACGTTTAATCGAAAGGCATATCAATCAACTTATAAGAACGAGAGTACCGCCTAATGGACAAATCAATAAAGGGGAGAAGATAATCAAAGACGTCCCACAAATCAACAGTCAGAAGATAATCAAAAAGGTCCTGTCAGGTTCAATATTCCAGGGATACCAGCATTATAAAAAAACGTTCTACAATTGGTGGTTATACCATTGAGTGTCCTACGCTACAACGACGTTCCACCACTGACCAAATATCAGTAGTGGAGGCTCAGTATCCTGAATGTGACAACATTTTAGCGAATTTCCCATATAGGGAATAAGCTATTACCGTAGTACTCATGGTAAGTCCTGGACCCGGGACCGATTTAATTTTTCATTTTGAGGTCCCTAGAGGCCAAAAACACCATCCGTTCAAATTCATATATATATATATATATATATATATATATATATGTGTGTCCGTTAGCGCGATAACTCGAGCAAAAATGATCCGATTTTGATGAAATTTGGTACAAATGTGTAAACCTACGTTTATTCGAACGAGTTCACGATCCGGTATAATCGGACCATGGGAACGGGTGTTTATGGGGGGTTTTATGGGGTAAAAATTGGGTTTTCCCATTTTTTACCCTAAAAACAAAAAATTTTGCAATTTATTTTTAAACCGTTTTGTAGAGCTTAAAAAAATAAATAATTTAGTATATTTGAAGCGCTGTTGTATGCCTAACGGTCACGGAGAAAATTCAAAAATAGTGTAATTTAAAATTCCCATATTATTCTTATGGAGAAAATGAAAATTGTTGTAGTTTACAGTAGACTCCCTCTAGTTCGGCCACCTCGGGACCGGACCACTGGCCGAACTACAAAACGGCCGGACTAACCGGTTGTAGTGCATTTTACATAATCAAAATACAAATAATAGTATTGCGCAATTGTGATATGTTAAGTCAATAACCTTGGTTCAGTAATAAAAACTGTAACGTTAAAATCACGCTTACTCAAGCAAAACAAAAATTACACAACACTGAACGTACAGCAATAAATCACGTAAAGAACAGAAAAATAGAAAGTCTAGTACTGCAAGCTACTGCTACCGTAGTCAGCATAGGCTACTACTACATGTTGTTTCAGAACATAAGAAAGTCGATGAAAACATTAGACAACTAGTCTTAAAGATAATAACGACAGTCGTCAAATAAGATAAAGATAGCAATAGATGACGTAAAACACTGCTTATCCTTTCTTCTTTGTTCTTCTATTCTTTCTTTGGTTTCTCTTCATCCACACATTCAACAAGTTGCCATGGTTACAAATCACCCAATCACAAACTGTTTTGTGAGATAGCAAACAAGTGCACAGCAGACATCAGTTGTGTAAAGAACAGATGATTGTCAGTGCAAGCGGATAGCTTGACCTTTTGAAGCTAACGATGGCTATTTCTTTGTTTTGCTTTAATTTATTTTTGTCAAAAAACTGTGGTGTTTTAAAAATAATAATGGGGGAACCTACCGCATAAAAAAAATGATCCGAAATATATAATTATACACTGCATTTCAACTTATTAGACCTAAGAAAACTATTTATAAAATGTTCTCGGTATTTTTGAGGTTATGTAACATAGTTTTAGTTTTACATAGGTAATATCCAACAATTCACCCATAGAAGCACCCGTCAACTAAACTGACATGAATTGTTTACTTCTTTGGCCGGAAACTAAACATTCAAGTTAAATCCTGTCGAAGGCAATTCACCCGTGACGATGTGACTTGTCCCCCTGAGACCGGGCCGGACCATCCGGCGGCCGATCCAACCGAAGCCGAACTAGAGGGAGTCTACTGTACTTGTTTATGGATGTATATTGGTACAATTTGGCAAATTTATTTATTTCATCCTTTACTATTGACGTATGGTCGAAAAACACTTTTTACCTTTCCCGTAGCAGCAAACCTAAGCACTCGTTAAATCTAATGTTATTCAATAGGGAATAAATATGTCTTATTTATGGAAATATTTGAGTAAAAATGTAATCAGACAAGTTGAAATTTGCTTAGTCTGCAGGTTTGCTGCGGCGGGGGTATTATTTATTTAGTATTTCAAATGTTTACATAGTTGCCCATTTTAACTGATCTTGTAGGTTATCCGACCTAGGCGGTCAGTTAAGGATATACTGTAGTTACCAGTTGTTGAGATTGTTATCAGTTTCACACTAAATCGTAAACTTTTGTTTGAACCAGATTGAAACTATTTTTGGAACAATTTGCAATCAAAACTTGTCTACTCAACTCAGAGTTGCCTGCCAATGTCCGTTGCCATTCCGTCTCTCAGTTCAACCAAGGAGTTTATGACATTATCATTGCATCTGACGAACATTCGCTGGACCAACCTGATGCTGGCTCTTCGGTTGATTTAAAACAGAAAAGGTAAATACAGTACTGTAGTATTTAACATAAAATTTAAACAGTATTAAAATGGTACTAATCAACTAATCAGTTGAATATATATAAATAAATTAATACAGTACCATATTTCATCACTATAGGGCGTAAAGTAACTCTTTTGACCCGAGTTTAAGTTTAGGAAAATGAGCGAGGGTTGAAAAGACGCTTTTTGCCTGTGTCATGAACTATATTTTTTGTCATAATGCAACATTAATAAGCAAACTAAGCTAGAAGACAACAACACTTTTCATGTAAACATAATTTCTCAAAACGACTTCCAACTTGAATTCAATATTGCTTATGCAAATAAGCAGATGGTAAGTAAGTGATTAGATCATTTTGTCTATTAGGTTGTGATAATATACATTATACTATCGATATATTGAACTGTTGACAAGAATGCACCCACTAAAGCTACAACTGGCTAAATTGATTGATAAAAAATTTTGATTCATGCGATTGCTTACAATCAAAGTTAACAACCCTCTGATTTTTGTTAAATATGTTTTCACGCCCCAGAGACTAAACATGTTTTTTACTAAAAAAGTAGTATAAGCGCTACTTTAGACCCGCAACGCACGTATTAAAAACGGCTGTTTTTGCTGCAGTGTGACGAAAAATACTTTTAATAAGGGGAACATCCCACCCACATGGTTCTTTATTATATTAAATTGAGAAAAATGTATGCATTTTACAATTTCTCTAATAATTGTTAAAGACGTAAACATTTTTTACACTTTCTCACTATTAAGGTACTAATCTAGTTATTTGTGTTGGACGGTCTTCTTTTAGCGAATTTCCCTAGAGGGAAGTAGCTATTACAGTAGGTCTCATGGTAAGACCATCGATGTATAATAACTCTACTGGATAGCGCGCTAGGTGGTGGAAAAACGGTCCGTGCCCGCCAATCGAATTGGCGGGATACCGAGGCGGACGGGCCAGAATGAACCTGTCTGTTTTACACAAACATACATTCACTCAACCTGCTGTGCTACACTTATTTGTTAACATAAAAAATTCAAATTGATATATTATTTTTCTGGAAAACCAGTGCTCATTACTATGTAGCTAGTTTTTACATTAACATATTTTTTTATAATTTATTTAGGCAAATTAAAACAGATGATTGTATTTAACACCATTAAAAACATGAAAAATGTAGTAAGCGAGGAACTTTTTTATTTTTTGGTCAGGAAAAAAATTCCTGCGGCAAAGTTTTACATCAAAGTATGAATTTTATTTTTTATTTGAAGCTTTTTTGATACGGAGCCTGCTTGTATCATTTTTAAGCGATTAAAAATAGGCATAAAATCGCTTGGCGCGGCATTAGCGCTAGGAGCTCGGCCGGCTCAGCATCAGTTTACAGGATATAGAAACCGAGTTTCTAGCATTTAATTATCATTATATTACATCAAATATGTCATTACATTACGAAGAATGGTAACTTAATTTAGAGGCGTATGTTTATGCATTTTAATGCTTACCGGTAGTCTATAGTTAACAAAATTCTTTGAATCAAAGAATAAATAAATGTTGGATTTCACAGTAGTATTTAATACCTATGAAAATATTTTGTTATTATTTTACTTCAGTGAGAATAATGAATACATTTGAGATATTGGCATTAAATCTTATACACTCATTTTATTTAGCAACATAATATGTTTTCCAAACACGTTAATCACAGTATGACAAAGAAACATACTATAATATAAACAAAATATATATTCTTAAATGATGATGATTAAGTCTCTCAATAATAATAATTGGGCCTCGCCGAAGCAAATGATGACATGCATATGTGATCAAATAATTATTGTGATATACTTTGCTCTGGTCAATGTTCAAATATAAATAAATCTAACTCTTTTATATCACCACTACATTTCTTATGAGATTTACTTTTGACACATAGTCTATAAAGTGTGAGCACGTACGTAGATTAATTATATCTGCTTATAACACCTTCTTAAGTTCGTTACAATCAATTATCCTCGGAATATTTCCACAAAACTAATATAGCAATACACGGCGAGAGCGGGCGCGACGCTCGGCACTAGGGTGAGTCATGCCTTTATCCCCACTCCTCGGGGACAGAGCGAGGTAGCAACGGACCGTTTTTCGAGCCATACTTCAACCTGAGCGCGCAATCCAGGGAGTTATACATCGATGGGTAAGACCTAGGCCCGGGACCGATTTACTTTTTCATTTTGATGTCACCAGAGGCCAAAAACACCATGCGTTCCAATTTTTATATATACAAATACATACATATATACATCATATATAGTATATATAATTTTTATATATAATATATACATATATATATATATATTATGACTTTGAAAATGGCCTTAGAGCTGAAACTATAGTCAGTAAATATTTTAATAAATAATTTTTACTTGGGTACTAAAGTTTATTAATGTTTAATCTTCATCTATATATAGTAGCCCTATTATTCTATTTTTCATATCTTTATATAGATATATAATATTTTGTTATTATATACACCAATGAGGGCTACTTTAAATGTTACTAAGTAGAGATGTGCGAGTACGAGTCGAGTATGGCCTTGAAACTCGAGCTTATCTTTGAACTCGGCAGTTTCGAGTCGAGTTTGGTTTAAAATTGTAAAAAATCTATATTTGTTAAAATGTAACTTGTGTTTACATAAAATGCTTTATAATTTGTATTACTATAGATTCTACAGTAATACAAATATTTCTACAGTGTAGAAATGAGCAAGAGGTAGTTGTCCTGCTGTCACAACAGAATAGGTCAACTCAAAGCAGTCCGGCGAAATTTAATTTTAAACAGTATGATTTAAATTGGCATTCTGTTAGTTACGTTTTTTTTTTTTTAACCCGCCCTTATACAGTGTGTATCTGGATCCGGATCCGAAGATCCTATGATCCGGATCCGAATTTTACAAGATCCGGATCCGGTACCGACATTTTCTTGGATCCGCCCATCACTAGTATTAATAAAACAAGGACCCCGAAACTTGCATATAATATAATAAATTGTAGCATGAAACAGAAAGCTAATAATTAGAATTGGTATTACTAATTCAAGGGCCCAGAAACTTGCTTAAAATATAAAACATTGTAGCATGAAATAGAAAGCTAATCATTAGAATTGGTATTAATAAACCTTGCTTAATAGAAACTTGCTTAAAATATAATTTTTTTCAGAAAAAGGAAAAGAGATAAAGAGTCTGGAGTAGCTCGAGGCATAGATTTTCAGCAAGTGTCAAATGTCATAAATTTTGACTTTCCACTCAGTGTGAGCTCATACATCCACAGAGCCGGTCGCACAGCCCGGGGAGTCAATCAGGTAGAACATTGTCATTAGACAGTAGCAAGTCAATTTGTTATCTCTTTTATTAGCAAATTTCCCATATAGGGAATAAGCTACTACCGTAGTACTTATGGTAAGGCCTGGACCCGGGACCGATTTACTTTTTTGTTTGGAGGTCCCTAGAGGCCAAAAACACCATCCATTCAAATTCATATATATATGAGGCTGTATGAATGCGTGATGTGTGAGAGAGTATCTGAATACAAATATCTGGGTATCATCTTTGACAACCGCCTAAAATGGAATTGCCATATTACTTATGTAAGAAATAAGCTTCGCAAAGTATCTTTTATCTTTTCACGCATCAACAGGATACTTCCCCTCGACTTGATTAGAACTGTGTATTATGCCTATGTACAATTTCTATTGCAATATAGAATCTTAGCTTGGGGTGGATGTTATTAAAATGTTTTAACGCCACTTGAAATAATTCAAAAATCTATTATCAAGATAGAACATTAAAATAAATCACCGTTATCCCTCAAATATTTTGTTCAATGAATTCAAAGTTCTTAATATACCCCAACTCTTTACAAAAAATATTATTCTGTATATTCATAAAATTGAAACTTTCTTGTTGAGCCAACCCCTCGCACCGCCCCCAGTCGAACAACTATTGGAAGCTTGCCCCCCATAGTGACAGTGCGAGTGGCCGCCCCAAATCCCTAACAAAAGTGAAAGGCCGTGGGTGAATATCAAAAACAAAACAAATAGTGAACAAAGCCTATAATTTTTCAATGAATTCAACAAAATAACAATCAACAATCAAACAATGTAACCATCCAAAGAATTTCTCAAATCTCTTAAAAAGCTTAATCAAAAATTTTAATGAAAAGGAATTTAGCCTACCCTTCTGAACTTACAAGAACTGGTACCAGTAACAAAATTAGGCCTCACAATTAAATAATTAAATATGGTAACTGTAAATTTTGTTTTAAACTTTTAAAAATTCAACAATTAAATAAATAACAATTAGGCTACTATAAAATAAATAACGAATAATAGATTTTGGGGCCCCTTCAGATAGCGGTATTTCTTTTAAAGCTCACGAAAATGTTCATAAAGGTTCAGGTAAAATTTAACATATAACACTTGCGGCTTTGGCACACTCATAGTCCTTCCTGGTGGTAGGCGGTGGTGTTAGAAGGCGGAAGGTTGCTTGAAGGTCCCCGGAGAAACAGGGCCGTTGGCAGCCCAAGGAGGAGGAAGGTGGAGAGTTCCCCCAGGCGACCCTCTCCGAGGACGACATCCGCAGGACCAAACCTCCCATCCGGGACCTCATCTGACGACTGGCAAAACACTTAACTACATGACTATAACGAAGAAACGGTGTAACAAATTACAGGTAGCACAAAAACCAAACGATGGACACAGATACACATTTATTATGCAAACAATCACAAAGTCTGAGATGGTTGACAGTCGCACGCCTTCTGACTCACAAGCGTCAAGCGGACATAGACTCTGGGTTGCAGGTTTGCTGCCTGACCCAAACTGACCGAGTTCTGGCGCAAGGCCAGCACTCGCACTATACAAAAAACACTGAGGCGTGACATTGGTGGGACGCTTGGTGGACATGTCACGGCTCATTGTTCCGACATATTACACATCAATACCATACTAGATCAACATCTAATCATGGAATTATTACCCCTAGATTAACGAAGTCAATAAACAGCACTTCGTCTTTTTATCTTGCAAACATAATTTATTCCCAACTTCCACTAATTATTAAATCGGGGGGGATTTAACATTAAACCAATAAGAGCTACCAGCCGCCTGTGGGTCCCGGGGCGGGTACTATGGAAGGAGGTAGAATGTATGTTTGTGGTGAGTGTAGGTTCTTTGTGAGTTTGTGTAGGTATGAGTGGTCTGTGTGAATGTGTTAGGGCCATGTGTGTGGAATGTATGGCCAACTTCTAGTAGCCATTTGTCAATAATTTTTTTGTATGTACGTAGACTGCAAGGAGGGGGTTCAAATCATAGAATAAGAAACTATTTCACCTCCATATATAGATACATATAGATACTACTATCATTTCATGAACAACTGCAGTATATCTATGCCGTTGCGTGTGTGTATGTTGTGTATGTTGTGTGTGTTGTGTGTGTTGTGTGTGTGCGTGTGTGTGTGTGTGGGTGTGCCATGGGTTAGAGTGAACTAGAATGAGTTTGAGGTTCGAGTCGTACATTCAGCGCTATTTATGTTGCTTCTGTATTTCCATAGTTTGTGCAAAACAAAGTAAATTAAACAAAGCGGGGTCGCTAGGCTGGACCACAGGGACAGTGCAGTGATGGCTTTTTTAATAAGAGCTACCAGCCGCCTGTGGGTCCCGGGGCGGGTACTATGGAAGGAGGTAGTGGCTGTGAATGTATGTTTGTGGTGAGTGTAGGTTCTTTGTGAGTTTGTGTAGGTATGAGTGGTCTGTGTGAATGTGTTAGGGCCATGTGTGTGGAATGTATGTGCCAAGTCTCGGGCATTTCAAATTATGTGTTATTTCTAATGGGATAATTTCCCTGAATAAACTGAACGCGTGATATATGCGTGCATTCATTTTTCATATACTGTATCGTTTTGTATATATTTATCTCGTAAACTAGTTTTTTCTTATTTATCTTTTTATTGTATACAAAATTCTGTGTACAATATATCTTATTTTCCTTTTTAAATGTAGCCTAAATTTATTGTTTTATTGTGCGGATGATGGACTCAATCCTCAACCACAGGCATAAAGCCCATTTGGGGATCATATTTCATAAATCATTTTTTGTACCATTGAACTGATGTACTGTATTGAAATAATAAAGAATTCATTCATTCATTCATTCATCGTTGGCGCCAATCATTCATTGATGGACGGACAACACATGATGAACAAAGAAGTGGCCGACCTTCAACTTCCCAAGCTGCGAGCATTGCCGAAGACGTCCGAAGGGTCATTGACACTGATCGCCGCCTTACACTTGATGACATCCTTACTGAACTGCCACCAAATGTTGAAATAAGCCGTACTTCACTTCATCGAATAATTACTGAAGATCTAAGCCTCTCAAAAGTCTGTGCAAGATGGGTTCCACGCTTGCTCACAGAACAACACAAGGAGCAGAGAGTTGATGCAGCATTGCAATTTCAGCAATTTTTGATGATGAAGGGGATGGTTTATTTGACCGAATAGTGACCGGAGATGAAACATGGATTTATCATTGGACTCCTGAAACAAAAAAACAGAGAATGGTGTGGAAAGCAAAAGATGAGGCTGCACCAAAAAAAGCAAAAGTCGTGCAATCTGCAGGAAAAGTTATGGCAACCGTCTTTTGGTGTGTTACTGATTGACTACCTGCCTCATGGGACCACGATTACCGCAGAACGTTATTGTGAGGTGTTAAAAAACCTACGAAGGGCAATACAATACAAAAGAAGAGGGAAGTTGACAATAAAAGTTTTTTTGTTCCACGACAATGCTCGCCTACATGCTGCCAGACGAACACAGTATGTTTCCAATAGAATTGGAGAAATTCAAGATTTGTCTAAACCCGAAGAATGGAGGTGGGTTCCATCGAAACAGAATCTGGCAGATGTTGCAACTAGAAGTAACAAAAAGTTTACTTCAGCCATGCACTCTGAATGGATCCACGGACCCTCATTTCTAATGCGAGAATCAAGTGACTGGCCAATACAACCGTCCACACTACAAGTCAAGGAAAATGAAGAAAGAAAGAAGAAATTCGTCGGAGTTGTGAACAGTGATGAAACCCCTCCTCTTCTGACAGTTGAAAACTTTTCTTCTTGGGAAAAAGTGACACGTGTGTTAGCATGGGTACACAGATTTATTAACATGCTAAGGCCCCATACTACTGCCACCACCAAAAAGAAACTGAAAACTGTCAACGTAGATTTTGGAAATATACCAGAACTTCAACCAGAGGAACTTCAAAAAGCTGAACATACATTGATATCAATGTCTCAAAAGGCAAGCTTCAATGAAGAAAAGAATTTACTGCTGAAGAACAAACCCCTACCAAAGTCCAGTAGAATATTCTCTTTAAATCCCTTCATTGATCAGTCTCTAATAAAAATGTCGAGTAGAATAAATAGTTCACCAGAAATAAGCGAAGAACAAAAGCATCCTATCATTTTAGACGGCAAAAGTCATACGGCTAAACTAATCATAAAAATGTTTCACGAGAAATGTTTCCATCAGGGCATCGAGACTGTTATCAATATGACTAGACAACAGTTCTGGATCTTAAACGTACGATCAGTCGCCAAGAAAGTTCAAAGGAGCTGCATGAGGTGTAGCATAGACAATGCCAAACCTTATCCTCCTCAGATGGCTGCACTACCACAGTTAAGGACCTCAAAAGTGCAATATCCATTCTTTTACACTGGAGTGGATTGTTTCGGACCTGTCGAAGTGACTGTTGGCCGCAGACATGAGAAACGATATGGTGTCCTATTTACCTGTTTATTGACTCGAGCAATTCATATCGAAACGGCACATTCCCTTAAGAGCCGGCTGGAGCCAGCGAAAATTTCGCCTTTTGGCAGCGCCTGCAATACGTGAGATGCGGTAGCGCCACTATCGGTGGCCACTAGGGGAGTTACGTGCTCTAGCTATATTGACAGAACTAAACCTAGGCTTTCGAGAACAACACACAGTGTAAACAAAACACTGAATAACCGCAAGGAACCGAGCAAGATAGTAACGTAGCCCTTCCTCGACTCCATATCCATCATAAATCATAACAGCTGAATGTTTGTCGGGTTTGGTGGTTTGGTCGGGTCTGACCTGACCTTCACTACAGCTTGCTATGCCACTTTGAAACAATTGTAGTACAAGTCATTGATATAACTTTGATACAAGATTGAATTATTTTAAAACCATTTTTAACAATGTTTAGATATAAGTTTTATTACAGTTATCGTTATTTAAAAATCAGTTTGAAGCTTTTTCCTAAGAATGTTTGTTTGAGCG